ATTCGATTCCATTCATTTGATTACCTGATTGCAGTCCTTCATGAATATGATTCATGTACACTCATTGATTCGTTACTCTTCTTCATTTATTTCATTTTTTTATGCAATTTATTTTTCGTAGTACTTAATTTTTGAATTAATTTTATGAATCTATTTTTTGAATACATTTTTTTAATGTATTTGAATTTATATTTTGAATTAATTTTTGAATTTTATTTTGAATTTATTTATTTATTAATTAATTTTTTTAATTCATTCTTTCAATTTATTCTTTAAATTTATATTTTGAATTTAGTTGTGAATTATTTTTTGAATTTCTCATATGCTTGTTCTTTAATCAAGCCATTCACGAATACAAATGAATGAAATAAATGGTTGGTTATGAATACCAATTAGATCTAAAACAATGAATAGATGGATAAACTAAAACGATTCTTAATACGAGCAGCTTTTAAACGAGTTTTTAAAAACACATGTTCACGCTTTTTGTTGGTTTACAAATAATTGACAATTCAAATGTAATTCGAATTCACGGTTCGAGTCACGATTCTGTGGCGCTGTTCCATCTCTAGGCGGTGTTGTGGCTCTGGCCAACGCACAAATTGATATTTAACTGTGCAACGTTGCAAGTTCGCACGACTTTCGCAACGTAATTTACGCCGCTTTACGATCGTCGTCACAATCTAGCGATCAAGCTCCCCTCCTCCCCCCCTCCCCCCGGTCGACCCCTTCCCTCCTCCCTTTAACCCTCGAGCGTGTGTGTTGCACTGTTTGTTTGCCTGCAATTCGTGCGCGCCGTTAATGTTTTTATTTTCACACACACACACATATATATGTATAGGCAGACACACACACACACACACAAGCACACACACATACGATTGCATGCTGTGCGTAGTGCTATAAATCAAAGTTTTATTTGTTGAAATAAATTCAGAGTTTATTGCTTCGTTATTATTTCGCAGTGGCAACAACAACTGCTGCAACAATAATTGCAACAACAACAACAGCGACAGCCAACCATCAAGTTCTCATTCACTCAATGATTGAGTTGTTTCTGTCCATAAGCACTGACGATGAACACATGAAATAGCCCGAATGTTCGCCGCTTTCGCCATTTCGCCATTTCGCCATTTCGACGCCAATGTACGATTACTTATTGAAAAGATATCGTTTCCAGTTACCATCGATTTGAGAGAAAAATAAAAATTTAAAAAAAATTAGTTTGTTTTATTGAGCCTTTGCTGGTCATAGCCAAAAATAATAATTATAGGGAATACACGAAACAGCAATACATTGGAAATATATCGCTTCCAGTTACAAACATTTTTAAAGCTGCTCAGAAATTACAAACAAAAAACTCGTTTTGAAGAAATATAGTTTTTATTTATATTCATAATGGTAAAAAAAATAAATAAATAATTAAACTAATGATTAACCCTTTGCTGGTTACAGACTGAAATAGTTCAAATTAATACCCGAAACAGCATCGGATTAGAAATATCTTTGAAGAAAAATGTTAACAAAAAATGGGCTCAAAAAGAAATACACGAACCAGCAATGAGTTGAAAATAAAAAAGGTATATTAAAGCATATATATTCTTGATCAGCAATCGATCTAGACACGGGGCGCACGTTAACTAAACTTGGTATGCAGAAGCTCCTAGTCCCTAGTATATACGAGTTTATTTAATTTATTAAATTAAAGAAGAACTATAAACATTTCAAAAACAAAATCCAAGCTTTGTAATAAATAAAATAAAATGAAATAAATAAAAATAAGAGAAATTATTGCCATTCAACTATCGAAGCTTATCAATATGCCAGGCTACGAGCAAATGAAATCGTAAGAGAAAAAAATGTTTAAGAATAATTAAAAAAAAATAAATCAATAAAATTGCAAAACAAAAAAATAGATACGAACGGTTGCGTGATGCGACGTTGAATGAAATAAAGTTCTGCTTACACTCACCTGCTGCTTGAAAATCGAATGAAATTCGTTGCCAGGCCTACTTTGTGGCAGGAAAGTATATTTTAAGTACATAGAGATAGAGTATACGATATGTTGTCATCGATATGTTTCATTATTGATAAATAGACGCAATTCGTTGAAAAACTAAATTTCTTCACGAAAGCTAAGCAACATACTTATAAATAGGACCAGATATATTTTAAATTCTGGCGCTATTGATATACTTCGATATTGTTAACCTTATACTATGAAAAATTCAACCCACAAATGGGGAAGAGTTAGCTAAAATGTTGGCTAAATATTGCTGATAATAGATACAAATATCGTATAAAAGTAATCGCAACTTCTTTTAATGGCGATAGCAAAAGGTCTTGATGTTGACAGTAACAACCAGCCTGGCTACTGGTGTAGAGCGAAGTAACTACTAAAGTAACTACAAGTACTAAACAAGATTTCTAGAAGTAATTAAATTGACGTTTAGTTAAAACCAATTGTTTATAGCTCCAACTGGAATTTGGTTCAATGATGAATCACCATCTGATGAATCCCTCCCACAGCTTGCCCTCAAGCGCCAGTTCATAGGTTCATCGAATTAACATTATTGGCGAAAATGTCGCAACGCGTTACTGCAAGTCGGATTATATCTAGGAGCATATATATATATACATATATGTACAAGCATTGTATAGGCATCTATGGATATGTATGAGCTGTGCGGACCCCACGCAACGCCCACAACAGCATTTTGCATATTTTATCGAACAGAATAAGAGATAGAGATGGAGACCTGGAGACCTAGAGAGTGGAACCAAAAGTGGGCCCAAAGTGCCAGTCGGTGGTTGTTGTTGGTTGTTGGTTGTCAGTTGGCAGCTGGCAGTGACTTCTATGACCCCTGACCATTTTTAATTTGCGGCTCGCGATGGCGTCGCTGCGCTGCGCTGCGCTTGGCATTAATTACTTATTTATATATGCGATTACGCAATGCCGCACCTCGCCATCGCCATCGCCATTAACATCTACATCCACATCCACATCGACGACCGACGAACGACACCGTCAAGTCGGTCGTGTCTATTATGAGCATCAATTAACGTGAACACCAAATTAAGAAATTATTCTCATGCCGCCCAGTCATTGTCGCCAGTTGGGGGCTTAGGTCTCTCGACGCTCCCCGCTCCCCGTTCCCCACACGCCTCTCAACGATTGGGCCAAAAGCCAATAACTCATACACATGTGTGTGTGTCGCATTTTTGGCACAAATCTGTTATGCTATCCATGTGTGTGTGTGTGTGTGTGAGAGTCTGCACGCTGTCATTTGGCATTAAGCCAACGCAACTCAATGCCAAAGCAAAGGCAATTATGCGCAATATACAACACTGCTGGTCGTGGTGCTCGCACATTCCAACACTGCCACAAACATTCAGCTCTCGTACTTTCCATTCACCACTCACAACTCACTCAATCGTTTTTTACGAATGTCGCTGGAATTAAATATACACCTAATTCTGTTTTACACGATTTTGATAATAACACGGTTGGAAATTTAAAAATATATACAAGTATTTCTTTAGAGATAAGCAACCAATCACCTATTTTTACATACGATCAATTTATTTTTTTTACACGGCTGTTTCTGGCACCAATCTACCGTGTAAAAACAGAATTAGTTGTAATATTGTTTCTATATGATATACAGTGAAAACTCTCATAATGGACACCTCTTTTATCCTGACACTCTCTTCGGCGGACACTTTTTTTAAAAACATTCGATCGGTGTTTGAAGTACTTAAGTATCCCCTTAAGCGGACACTCCCCTTGGGCGGACAAAAATTGGCCGGCCAAGAGAGTTTTCACTGTACATACTAAGTAACTTATCAGACATATCACAAAACACGATACAGAACTCATAGCTCATGCCAAAGCTGGCTTACAAATTTTGTCTCAATGATCAGAAAAATGATCCTACAAAGAGTGATTTCTGCACCAATCGGTCCTACTTAATATAAAATAATGGCGCTATGGCTTGCTACAAACCTATTATGCCTATGGGGAGCTACAAGTATATCTAGATCCTAATAGAGTTGAAAAGCTTTTACAATAAATGTTTTTTTAAAAAAAATACTTTATCCCTCAATATTATGCCGAGAAATTACAATAATTATCTGACTCTGGTTCATAAAAATTCTTTTCTAAAGGTTTAAAGGATATACTAGTCTTGTGGTATTGTTTGTAACACACAGAAGGAGGCGTGGCAGACCCTACAAAGTATATACGTCTATATTCTTGATCAGAATGACAAGACGAGTCCATCTGTCCGTCTACAAGTATAAGAACGAAAGGATCTGAGACAAGAGCTAGAATTGCCAAACTTGGTACCCCAGGTTCCAGGTTCCCCTAAGCCCTAGGCAGATCCAGGGCCCGCTCGACTCGGCATTCCTTGTTTCTTTTTGTTTTGAAATACATTTTTAAAATATTTTTTTTTAATTTTTTTTTTTTTTTTTTTTTTTTTTTTGTGGGAATGGGTGCAGGGTATTTAAGAGTTGAGTCCAAATTTTTTTCTTATTTTCCATTCAATATTTGGACACGGAAATGGCTCAAAGGTTCCGTTTGCCAACTTGCCAACTCTTTGCAAATTCAATTGTCAACTGAACTCAGTGCTGGTAGCATCCGGAAGGCAATTACATTGGAAATATAAAGGGCCCTATAAAAAGAAAAGAACTGACAGAAAAGATAAGACAATTAGAGCCAAAACGAAATCGACATCGAACTTGAAAAAGCATTCATCATGTACTATATTTCATATTTCTTGTGGAAATACATGTACTTGGATGGATATGGAGCTTCCTGTTTATCCTTTCTAATTGCCAATAAAAATAAATATATAAAATAGTTGTTGGAAATAGAAATAAGTGCGAATGCAAATTACTTTATAATCTACATGTGTATATTGCAGAGAATGTAAAAGCCTTTTCTAAATGTTATCCTTTTCTCTCTCTCTCTCTCTCTCTCTCCCTCTCTCTCTTTGCAGCAGCGTAAGCTGTCACCGACATGGGCAGTGAGCACTACTGCTTGAGGTGGAACAATCATCAATCCAACCTGTTAGGGGTGTTTAGTCAATTATTACAGGACGGGAATCTGGTGGACGTTACTTTAGCTTGTTCAGAGGGCACACCCATCAGAGCCCATAAGGTGAGTGCAGTTTACAATTACATATGTACATACATATATACATAAGTAGTATATACATACATATATACGTAGATACATATGTATGTCGTTTTAAAATTGTATGCGTATGCGGAAGTGCATGTTGTGTTGCTGCTGCCCAGCATGTGGCATGGCCTCAAGGTCGTGTTGCCACACGCAGGCCGCATGAAATAAAATGCCAGGCGCATTAATTAACGCAACAGCAGCAGGCAGCGGCAGCGGCAACGACGACGACAACTACGGCTACAACGTCGACAACAATAACAATGACAACAACGACAACAACAACAACAACAACAATGATCAAATGCAATTTACACATTTGTCAGTAAATTGTCAACTTGACGCCGGTCGGTTGAGGCAGTAAACGGTAAACGAGACAACAGCCGCTACAGCAACAATGACAACAAAGCGCTCGTGTTGCGGCAACATGTTGACAAGGTCAGCGCCTAATAGAAATTGACTGGAACACTTGACGTTGGCTGCTACAACAACAACAACAACAATAGCAACAGCAACAACACGTGCTTTATACATGTGTGTGTGTGTGTGCGCGTGTGTGTGTGTGTGTGTGTGTGTGCGTGTGAGTGCATAAATCATGCGTTATTAACGTCGTCGACCAGCAACAACAACATTGCTGCCTCTGCACACTGGTCCACATAATCGTACACACAACATTTAATCAGCGCGCATAGCAGAAGGAAAAAGAAGGAGAAGCAGAAGTAGAAGAAGGAGAAGCAGAAGCAGAAGTAGGAGAAGCAGAAGAAGATTGAGAAGATGGAATGCGCACCTGACACTGCAGTTTGTTGCATTAATAACTTTTAATAGAATTCAACGATTTGGATGAGAATTTCATATGAGTTGCGTTTAAAAAGTTAATATCATTGCAGCTTGGGCTTTATGAACAATATCTTAGAAATTCTGTAACGCGGAAAGGAGAGGAAAATGAAATAAACTCGTGATGCATAGAAACTAATTTGGCTTGGCCATTGCGGGCTGAGTCGTTTCCGAAATCCTGTAGTTTATTCTTTAACACAGAAGGGTCAGGTTCAGATTGTATACTTGATAGATATGCCCTTTTTAATCATCGCCCACAGGGCATAAAAAAAATATATCAGTATTGCATATCTAGTCTGCTCAACAGCACTCATTTCTATTTTATCTTTTGACTTTCTTGCTGATTTTGTTGGCATTCGTAAAATCAGAAATGAAACACAACTTTAAGTTATACATAGATTTAGGTCCCCTCTGACTTCACAAGTGTTTAATTTTTCAATTGTGAGACTTCAAGTGATTAATTATTTAATACTACTTTGGCAAAAATGCTTTATTATCAAAGTATTCATTGAAATTGTGCAATAATAACAAACACGATGAACGAATTAGAAGAACTTTGATGTTCAACTTAAGCTCTTTTATATTTGTCCGATTAATCTGGATAACAAATTCCTCCTTTTTATTCATATTTCATTTCACTTATTTATTCATTTATATATTGCTTACTTAAAAAAAATTAAAATCTTAAAACTAACAGATGTCATTATGTTAGCAGTGCTATCTTTCTGTTTACATTTTAGTGTTTTATAGAAAAGAGAAAACAAAATTTGTATTATTATTAAATGTTCGTATGCGATGTGAAATCGACAAATGAACAGTAAGAATAAGCTATAGCTCCGTGGCCTTAAGCTACTGAGAAAATAAATAAAATTGGAATATGTGTGAGGCGTGGGCTTAAATTTTATTGCTAGGTATTTGTGGCTTTTAAATATCTTAATATGAGCTTAGTGTTGTCTACTGATGGGTATGTAATTAGCGTGTTGGGGTAATGTTTCTTTTCATACTTTTCGAAAAAGATGTCCATACATTTTAACATTATTTAATATTATATTTTCGGAGTAAATAATTTCAAAAAGAAACAGTGAAGCGAACGGCTTTTTATATGCAACTAAACTATAGTAGAGTCCTTACACTTTATTTTTCAACACTGGCTTCTGCTTAACATTTAGAGTTGTATGACTACAAAAAACTATTTCTGAAAGTATGTCCTTCAAAGTCAGGGACAAAATCGATAAATGAAACATTCTTGAGCTTCAAGCTTCGAGCTTAGATAGTAATACTGCATGAAGTCCCGAATTGTTCAACACTTGCACCCTATTTCCAATTTATCGAAACTGTTTCAGTGTGCGTTTTGTGCACGTCTGTCAATTGAAATTCCTGTTAAATTAAGCGGAAAATATTTAGCTGCGGCAGCAGCAGCAACAACAACAACAACAGCAGCACATACTCGTAATATTGTTGGTGTTGCTGTTGCTTTTCTTGGTACCTTTGATGTTTGACTTGATAAAGTTATTTGAATGTAATTTCTTGCTCTTGACCGCCGCACATCGCCGCAAACTGGTAACTGGTAAATTGTTCAATTATAATGCATTTATTATGCAGCACTCGCATTGGCTATTTCATTAGATGGCGACGGCGACGGCGACAGCGGCCCACAGCTTCCACCTGGTCTTGTCCCGTCCCGTACCGTCCCGGATCCGGACAGCTTAATGTGGCAGCTGTAGAAGGCAGTTGGCCAACAAATTTGCAACTTTGCAGACACTTAGTAGATAGCAAAGCTTAGCTTAACACGGCTTAGTAGCTTTAATAAGTGACGGCAACTTGTTTGCAATTGATATACTACTACTACACTCGTGGTCTGGGCTTACGTAACCCATCCGAGTTACTTCATTAAACGCTATTGTTGTTTGCTTTTAGAGGCTCTTGACTTAAGCCAAGAGAAGTCAACGAGTTTTTCGGGTTCAACTTCAAATCGTATCTAAGGAAATACTGTCCTAGCATATACATTAAATAAAATCTGTATGCATCTAGCTAGAAAGAATGGCTCAGCTTGAACGCTTAACTTAACTGAGAAGGTTATCTTCAAGGCAACCCTAATCCCTAGAAAGACCTTCCCCATCATTTGGTTGCTGCAACTAATTTTCTTCAACTCAACTCGGCTAAGTCAGCTAAAAAGATCAAACAGTAGCTTGAAAAGAATACGCTGTGTACATTTACTAAACGTTTTGGAATATTCTTTTTATGTCTCGCAGCTGGCGGTATTCCGGAACGTCTGATCAGCATAGGGAGATGATGAGATCGATATAAACATGTTTGTCCATCATTATCGAGAACTTTTGAACCATAACTTGGTATGCAGACTTGTCTTATCAATACACATTAAGCCTGTCACAATAAGCCTGTCACTTAACAACAATTTATAAGAATTGACAGAGCTTTCTAAGTGCGACTAATTGCAACAATTTTGGTAATTTAAGGAATGGAAATTGTTTAAAGAGTATCCTTGTTTTTGGATAGCTAGATAGGCTTTAAGTACAAACTGCTTCTCAAAGCGAAGCAAATAGACTCAGTTATCAATTTTTGAACATTATAATTACATCGCCAATAATATAATAATAGAAATATCTATTCGATATGTTGTCGATAGGTATTTGTTTTCGATAAAATGGCTAACAAGATTTTAAGAAAGTATTCCAAATACAGCTTAGACATTTTTCCTTTGAAGATACTTATTCGATTATTCGATTTCATAAGCTCTTGCTTGCACATGCTTGATTGTGTATTGGGAGTGTTGGAAAGATAAATATTTGATGTCTTGAAACGTTAGCTTCATTAGATGATGGGGAGGAATCAACAAATGGATTAACAACAAGATAAGCAAGAAGGACAACCAACTTACGATTGATGTATTCATTTCCTTTTTGGCAATAACTGCAGACAATTTCAGCTGCAACGAAATGAAATGGAAGGAAAAAAATAAAATGGAAATGAAATTGCCACACAGACGGACAGATAGACGGACAGACACACCGAAAAGCTAAAAAGAAAGCCCCCAAAAAAAAACTATAGACGTTGCTGGTCCTTCGCACATGTCGCTCTACAAACTAATTAACAAATGCACACAAGAACGCAAATCACACAAAAAAAAGAGGAGTACACCTACAAATATGTGTGTGTGTGTGTACATTTGGAATGTCAACGTTTATATAGTTAATAAAGCAAAGAAGTCGACTGAAGCCAAGGCAATCGAAAGAACGAAAACGAATGGACTGGGAGATGGAGACTACAGATGTCAGAATCCTTCCGCCACTAAAGCACCACCAAGGACTAAGACAGCAAGCAAGAAGAGCAAGAGCTGGCAAGCTGTCAATTACTTTTGCATATCGTTGTTGTTTTTTGTTGTTGTTGCTTCTGGTGTTGATAACGACAGGCAGTTTGCCAATGGGTCCCTGGGCCAAAACAAACACAAAAAGAAGGAAAACGTCGATGAAGCAGAAGCAGAAGCAGATGAAGAACTGCAAAACAGAAACAAAAAATGATTCCTAAATTGATTAAAAAGCAAAGTGTCGATGAACGCAATGATGACAGCCAACGAGTTGAGCGAAGCCTGCAGTCGCCCCCCCCCCCCCCCCCCCCCCCCCCCCCCCTTCCCACACCTCTGCACACACACCAGCACCACCCCCAACCCACCCCCATAGCGACAACAAGAAAGGCCAATTGAAAAAACATGTGACTGAATTGCTGCAGAAGAGGACAGAAAAAAAAGGCAGAAAGAAACCCGAACTGAACGCATCCCCTAAGCTTCAAACCATTTTTGTCGCATTGCAACTGAAACCGATGACGAGCTGCTGCTCGGGGCTATTTCTGGAGCTGGGGCAGGGGCTGATGGCACGGGGGTGGCAAGGGGATGCTACCAGGGGCAGCATGTTAGTTTTTTGCTAATGTCCTCGTTGGCTGCTGTTCCTGGCCAAGCGACGCCTGAACGGACGGATGGTAGGATGGACGAACGCAGCCACAGCCGCAGGCAGACGAATGGACAAGCCTGTTTCTCGCCTAATCTGCGCACAGTGGGGCAAACGCATTGCACTGCTGACAATATTTGAATTCTAGCGAATTTTGAAGAGAACACTTCATTTCATACAATT